AAATATTAAATAGTTAATTTGATACTAATATCAATTTATTTATTTTTTTCAAATTTTTATGATATTTTTAAATTTATATTTCATTCAAAAATAAAAACATTACCACTTCCTCAAAAACACAAAATCATATTATATCGATAGAGACAAATAGTAAAAACTAAACATTAAAATGAAGATTTATCTCGCTACATTGCGCGAGTACCCTTATAGTATTGTTGGTCCTGAAAGAGATGACAATAAACAAAAAGAAATTGTAGAAAGGGGGTTGAATACACTTACACAGACTTTTTAAATTTTTATTGATGTAAATCAAGAATTAACACACAAAGATACAAAAGATTGTTGCAGAAGATAGGAAAGAATAACATAACCTAAACAATCTTACAAGGAGAATAAGTTACAAGAAAAACACAATGAGTACTTGAAAGGAAATGAAGAACACTAAGTTTTTCTTCACACACAGGAGGGCAAGGGGGTAGAAGAGAATAGTCGATTGCCTTGAGAATGCACTAAGTAATCTTTCAAAAAGCTAGTGGTGTGCATAGGAGATGCACACTGCCTTTTATACTACCTTTAGCATTTAATGTATGGGGACACTTGTCACTTGAGGATAAGAAGACAGGGGTTGACTTGACCATTGTTGATATCTCATTTTCATCGTACACAACGTGCATACAACACTGTTCATGTAGAGATAAACTTTTGCATCTTCTTTGGATGGATTAGTAGCTTCAAACAGGTACTCACAAACCTTTGGTCCATGAAGATCTTCAATCTTGGGTCCATGAAGATTTTCAATTTTCGGTCCATGAAGATATTTCTTTAATCGGCTTGTAGCTTCAAATATTTTCAATCTTCATTTCAGCTACTCTGGAGTCTTTGTGTGTATATTAGACAATTGATCCACAACATCGCATCGGTGATCTTCTGTCTTCACATCGGTTAGTTTTCGATTTTGCCAATAGCTTAAGTATGTACCAAGACACCAATATACAAAGAAACCAATAACTACTAAATGCTAAGGTAGAAGAACAGATCAGTGAGTCATCACCAAATCAATAGGTGACCCAACAAGTATATATATGTGTGTGTGTGTGTGTGTGTGTGTTTGGATACATTAATTAGTTTAGGTGGAGGGATGGTTGGTTTTAGTAGATACGAATTATATTAAGGGGTCATTTACCTAAACACTTACCTGGTAAACACTTATCGGTAAAATTTCAAAACTATCGCTTACTTACCGGGTAAGATTTTATTCACTAAAACACATCGTATGCAACAATTTATCCTGGTAAGTGCTAATCATGGTAAGAGTCTCTGTCCTCACTTAACGGGTAAGACTCTTGATTCTTGCTTTCACTCTTACCGGGTAAGATTTTTAGTTTTGTCATATTCATCCGGTAAAGTAAAGTGACTTAGTAAATGCTTACCCGGGTAAGTGTTTGGTAAACGACACCTAAATGTTAAATTGATTATATGTTTAGTTTATTTAGATAATGCAAATAAAATACATCTATGAGATTAATTAATTAAATCGAAGAAATATTAATTTGCTTTAGCATAATTAGGAAAGATTTTATCATTTTCAAAATCATTTAATCCCATTCCTTTTATATAATTAATTATCTTTGTAAACGACAACATCGTTATCCGATCGTTATTTTCTTTTTAGTATTCATAAATTTGAAGCACCCAAAAAATCCAATTGTTGAAATAGTGTAATTTGTAATAAGTGAATTTTGGTTTTGGTATATACATATAATTTTTAATTTAATTGATTAAATTGTTGATGATTGTATGATTGAGATTAATGTGAAACAAGCCGAAATTAGACTTAGCTATAATTCGAGCCCGGAGGTGCCGAGTGCACGCTCGAATAAGTTAAGTTGATCTCGTGAATGCGGGGGTCCAGAGGCAACGCCCCTAGCGGGATTTCAACATCGCCCTGGCGGGGTCCACAGCCCCGCTGACTGGTTAGTGGGGGGGGTAGGGGGGCCGCCCTTGCTCGGTACTGCCCCAGCCCGAAAATAAATCCGTATATAAAAAATGGATCCGGTGGTTGTTTTCCGGCCAAACACCCTAACAGTCGCATTTGTTGGGAAGAGGCACGACTTTCCACAAAAAATAACCGACTTAACCTCCGGTGACTATATAAGGTTTCATTCGATGATCTTCATGGGTACTATAACTCTCCCGGATTTTTGTAAACAAGCAAGGTATTCTTTGATTATGATCTTGGATTTTGTCAAAAATCCAGATTTGTTGTTCTTTGGATTATCCAAATCTGATTTCGTGACACCCCAGGCAATGGGGTCGAAATCACAGATTTTAGAAAGATGTTTTATGTACGATCCTTGAATTATCCAAGTAATTTGATATTCTTTTTCCAAAATCTAAAATGAAGTGAACAGTGTAAGAAGAACCATATTCGATTTACCCTTTTTACAGCATACCCATGTGACAGTTGATGCTGTCAAAAGCAAAGCAAAGACAAAAGACACCCAAAGATACAAGAAGAGATGGAGATAGAGCACATGATGAATACAAGGAAAATGATGCTTAACTTATGCAGTCAGCATTTACAAATCATGAAACAGTTATGCTATGCATGCCCACATGCATCATGCATCTCCCATCATCATAACATGATGGATGGGGTCATTAATGACTACATACACCCTACCTAACCAACCCAAACATATGATGCAAACCTCACTCAAATTAAAGTAATACAAGAGAATCAAACTATTTGTAGTTAGAGTTCAGATCATAAAGTTATTGATTTAGTTAATTAATGATCGGAGAATGGTGGATGGCGGCCGCATTGGAGGTGGCGGGGGCAAGTGATGAGGTGATCGTTGGTGAGTCCGGCAGCTTGCATGAACGAATGGATGACAGTAGGACTGACCTGCCGGAATCCCCTCCTCACCATGTCTTTGCTTATGGCTTCCGATTTAGAGCTTTTTACAGGCATCTTTTGATTCAGTTTGTATTGCGTTACAATCGGCTTGTGATTCAAAAATCCCCATATATACTTGTCAAACGACCCGAATGCTTTCTTGATCTGAACAACGATAACACCATCAACATATGAGAACCGTTTAAATGAGAACTATAAACATTTTAAGAATCTGGAAACTAACTATTCATCTTTATTCATAATGAATGTAAATGATAGTAGATATTCATAATGAAGATACGATATAAAAACGTCATGCCTGAAGGATACAATTAGAGTTGTCAACAACACCTCTGATAAGGCCAACTTCAATCCCATAACAACTACTAATTGATGTTATCTTCTTATCTGTAAACTTGGATACAATTTCTGCTTCAAATTCTGAGAATGCTTCCCTGCAATATAATTTTTTATTTAATTATTAATCATTGTAAAATAACCATAAAATTTTGAAATTTCATAAATGGAAATCCACCTAAATTTTTGTCTTCTTCTCAAGACTGAAGTCCAATCTGATCCAACTTGAGCACCTGTCAACACCAACAATTCAAACAGCAACCTGCATATATATCCACTACCACATTCAATGATAAATTCCACCATCTTCATACATACATACATGATATATATATATATACATACATGATATATATATATATATATAGAGAGAGAGAGAGAGAGCTCTTACTTATCATCATGAACAGGAACTCCCCATTCTTCATCATGGTATCCAACATATATAGGGTCTAAAAAGATCAGATATTTCATTTAATTAGTTAAATTATTTCAATGAAAATATTGATATGTAAATAGTTATACCTGAAGTAGGAGTGATGAAGCTGCATCTTTTCTCTTCTCTGAAACCAGTAGTGGCATTCATCAGAGAGTTGAAATCAAAGTAAGATGTGAGCTTGCTGCAGCTATCATACTTGGCAGACTTAGATCTACCATAGTGAGCAATCCTCATTTTCCTCTGAACCTGAATCGCTGCCACCTGTACCCTCCTTACAGCCGCTATACTCCCCGGAGCATCCACAATCGCCGCTGATGAGTACTTCACCAATGAGTTAGGATTAGTGCTGATGACGGCAGCAGAAATAAAATCGCTGGAACGGTGATCATGGCCACCGCCATTATTGCTAGTAACTCCTTTTAACTTTTTTACCGGAATAACAGATTTTTGGGCGGTGCATTTGATGGGTGTTGACGGAAAGAGCCTTTCAGAGCTGGAATTCGTACAGTACTCGGGCTGGTTAGCGTGAAGTGGTGGTGGTGGTGGTGGTGGAGGTGTGGAAGCTGATTTAGGGAGGGATGGACTCTTTTTATGCGAACATCTTGCAAGGACTCGGTTGGAGGTAGCTGGTTGGAGCACCGGCCGCCCATTGATGTCGGAAACCATGGTGGCTGCCGGAGTAGCTTTAGAGTTTACCTGAATTGGTTGTATCAATTTGGATTTTGAAGAACACATGACGGACCAAGTATCTTGGATGGAGAGAAGGAGAGTGTGTTATTTAAATGGTGTCTGTAAGCAACTAAGATGTATGTGAAAAGAAAGAAGGGTATTTATGTCTTTTATTACTACTCTATGAGAAGAAGTGAGGAGCGGGGGACAAAACCATAGAGCCATACATCGGTTTAGACTTGAATCATTTTTCTTTTATATATCTGTTATTGAGAGCGGAGAAAAGATCAAGCGAGAAGTTAAACATTTTACGAGAAGCCAATAAGTCTCAATATCGTATATGATTACACTTTTTTAGGAGTGTTTAATCATATATGATTATACTTTTATGTGTTGTCAATACAACATGTGTTTAATCAGTGACGGATCTAAAAACTTTTATTATTGGGGGCACCTTTTAAGGATGGTAAAAAAAGTCTGAAACCGAATAACTCTTTCGAACCAATACGATATTGGTTATTCGGTTTTTGGCTTTAAGGTCCACTTTTATTGAATTAAAATAACTTATTCATTAGTATTATAGCAAACAAAGCAAGAGAAATAAAATGAATTTTAAAGGGTTGACATGTTAGAAGTTAGAGGAATTAGAGTTTAACCGATCAAGTCATGACTCCTTCAGGTAAGAGTTCTAAAATGAGATGACAAGAATCAGAATTGGGTCTAACTTTTAATTGTTTTATGCCTATTAATAATTTTAGGTTAACAAAAATATAAATAAACTACTCTTGGGGTTTGTTGGGGGCCTGTGCCCCCTACCCCTTTGTTGTGGATCCGCCGGTGTGTTTAACTAATCATATATGATTAAGGTTGTGTATCATGTGTATAATCATATATGATACTAAAACTTCTCGTATTCTCACAAAATATTTGGCTTCTCATTTAAACTTGTGCCATTAAGAGTAATATAATAAAGTTATAAATATTATTAGACATTAGAAGAGTACTCGTGTAATGTAGCGAGACACATCTCGATTTTAATGTGCTATTTTATTATTTGTCTCTGTCGATGTTATAATATGATTTTATGTGTTTTTAAGAAAGCAATAATGATTTTATTTTTGAATAAAATATAAATTTAAAAATATCATAAAAATTTGAAAAAAAATATATCAATGTTAATATTAAATCAACTATTTAAAAGTTCTCAATTTATTATTTTTATTATAATTTAATATAAGTTTAATAAAGAAATAATTTATTTTTTGGTTTAATAATATAACATTTTATAAAGATAATAAATTAAATATTATGTTAGAACTCAATGATTATCCTAATTATATTTTAGATTTTTTTATATTTAAAATGAGATGTTTATCTTGTATTTGATTATGTTTATCTGCAGTTAGTTACACGAATTTAGATATGTAGCTTTAATAAGTTGTACTTACGCATAATATATTTGCAATCTTGAGTTTTAAGTAATATGCATTAATAAACAGTATTTTACCCATAAAAATAGTTTTTAAGAGTTTTTGTGAAATACTTTATAATATAGTATAGATATAATATAAGATAAGATGGAATAAATAAAATAAGATTGAATAAATAGTAACATAGAGGGATTCTATTTGGGTCTATCATACAAACCCTCTTGTGAGGCTAACTTATCTTGTTTTCTTTATCCATGGCCATATGAGAATGATACCCTTGAGGCCCTCACACCCAACATCACACTTTACTAATCTTTGTGCATGAAGTAACTAGGCTCGTTCTTGACATTTTATAGGCCTTGTACGAACGTAAAAACAGGGCCCACGGCAAAAACAAGGCAACGACTTTTGTCGTCGCAAAAAGTTCATTTATCATCAGAAAGAGTATATAACGACATACTATAACGTGTAGCAGAAATATGTCATCTCTAAAAAGTGCATCGTTAGAGTTCACTTTTTTTTGTAGTAACCCTCGGTAAGTACGAAAAAAAATTCAATAAATTTTTTTCATTAGTATAAAATTGAGTACAAGAAATGCTAATAATTTAGTGAGGAAAGAAATCTTAATAACAAGAAATATGTATTATTTTGATACAAAAAGAGAATTTGTGTGAATGAATTAATCATGAGGGTCAATGAGAGATCAATAATAATGAAGATTATCAAAGTTTTCTATACAAGTAGACAAATGAGTATCAATAAAAATATGAAAGAAAATTTAATCTATTGAGATCCAAAAAGAATAATATGTAAGCTCAATAAATAATTATTTGAGCACTTAAATAGAATCTTGTGGTGTGGTGGAATCACAATGAAATATACATAAGTCAAACAATTGATGAAAATATCTGATCACTATTTTCCTTCTTTTTTTTGTTCAACTAAAATAAGGTGTGAAGATTAAAAGTTTATGGAACATGACATATACAAGAGACATTACTAAATACATCTAGTAGAAAAAATTTATTGATTAATCACAAAAACCATGAAACACGTCATAAATTATAAGAACAATAGATTGATTGTCAAAAAATAGTAAAATATTTATGTAGAAGCAAAAATAGATAACAATAATCAATAAAAACAATTTAAACAAGATAACCATATAACAATAGTTAATAGAAGCAGAAATTGATAGAAATATCTAACAAAAATATATAGCATTAACAAGCACATGATCTTAAAGTTGAATTGTTGAAGCACAAAAACAATCAAGCATATAGAATTAGCAATAGCCAATATCATTGGACCTTATTGGAGATATAAAAAAAATTAGAGAGGCAATAAACAATATCATATAATGAATGACCAATTAATTTTTTAATTTTCTTCTCCACTGTAATTAGTTGATATATTTTTGTGCCCTTATTATCTACTAAATTCTCTTTGCCTCTTGTTATATGCTATAATTTTTTAGGATTTTTCTAATTTATTAAATTCTTTTATACTGTTATTGTATTTTAAGGAAAAATTTGGGCCCCTTGATATTTTTGGGCCCTGGGCTTGCGCCCGTGTCGCCCTCCCCCAGGGACGACCTCAAGGAACCCCACTAGAAGAAATATGTGAGCATGGCATGTAAGAGATGATCCCACTTTGCCTCATCGATGTCTACTAATCCAACATTTTCCAGAGGTTTTAATCTCATCAAAGATAAATACAAATACGTGTTTATAGGTCAGATTTATTATATATAAATATTTATCCTTTAAAGAAAAAAATGATAGTCCCACAACTAAAAAAAGTATTTCTAACTTTTGTCTCTCAAGCCAACCGCAAAAATGATGTTTCTCCTGATGCTTGTAGATAACACCAACGTCACATCTCAAACTGTTTTAGATTTTCCGTAAGGAACCTAATATACATGATATTTTAAGAAAGAGTGTTAGGCTTGCGCCTATAATGAGTTCAAGCAGTTAAATAAACTTGAAACAATAAACTAAACATATCAAAAGATGTAGACCAAGAGATATTTACCCGAAAATGGTACATTTGTATGCAAGGGAATAACCTCCCAAAAGTAGTCAAACCTGACAATTAAACACATAACATCTTCTGATGACAGGAGAGATTCGTTTTCATTGGATGTGGCGGGAACACAAGAGTATTGCCATGTATCAATGTTCACAGGGATTACACCTCAAGTTTCTATGACTTTAGTGCACACCCAAATACGGGGTCACCTCAATCCCTCATATACCTTTAGTGTCTACTACTAAGAGTTTCACCTCAAGATTAATGAATCTTAGAGGATGTTTGGTAAGAGGTATTAAACAGTAATTAATGGGAATGAAAATAAAAGAAACTATTTGGTTTTTTATAATGTAATGGGTCTATTCCTTCAGAAGCCCAAATTTTCATTCCAGGTTAAACTGAGGGGAATGAAAACTCATTCCCATTTTTATTCCCTTTCATTTGCATTTTCATACTCATTTTCATTCCTCTGCTTGAACCAAACGCCCCCTTAATGTCTGCTGATTAAGCTAGCTAAAACTCACCTCAAAGTTCTCATTAGGCCTTTAGTATCCACTTACCAGAAATCAAGATAGGAACCCATATATCCTATTTATTAACACAAAACCTAACAATCAATTTTTTTATTTATAAAATATAACTTTTTTATAGATTATTATATATATAACTTTAATATATTATAAAAATCTCAAAGTTTTCAAATAATTTTATTAATTTTGAGTTTTATATATTAATTTTAATTTGTTAATTTATATATTTTGTAATTTTAAAGTTAACACGATAATCTTGGTTAGCATTTGAACCAGCCCCTATATATATATATATATATATATATATATATATATATATATATATATATATATATATATATATATATATAAGGGAGCGTTCAAATAAAAACCATTCAATTTGTAAAAACCGTGAAAACCTCATTCAACCAATCATAATTTTTCATTTTGTTCATTTTTTTGTAATTATGAGAGGTTGATTAATCATTTTTATTGTGGAGAGTGTTAATCATAGATATTATCATCTTCATTATTTTAATTTTAGAGAAATACATGAAACAGTTTCATTAAAATTTTATTAAATATTATCTGAAACAATTTCATAACCATATATGAAACAAATTCATCAAAAAAGTATTATATGAAAAAATTTCACAAGATTAAACAATTTCATGAAAAATTTTCATAAGATTAAACAATGAAATCGACATATGAGAGTGATTTGTACGTACGATTTTTAGAAATGAGGATGATTTTCATTTGATCGCTCCTCTCATTCTCTCTCTATATATATATAAAGTTTGGTAGATTGTTTAAAATTAGAAAAGATATTTCACAATTATTAATTTACGATTTATAAATTAATTTCTTATATATAAAAGTATTTGAAAAATAGTCTAAAAATAATAATAGCGAGATTAACAATTACACTTATTTAAAAAAATACAAAAATCTATATAAAAATTTACAAGAAACAAAAAGAAAAAGAAAAATTAACAAATATATTTTATAATAATTAACTTTTATTTTTTTTTTATCAATTTTAATTTATATGTTCTATACATTTATTAAAATAAAATAAAATAGTTAAGAAACA